TCTAGTGCCGGTATATTCACCTGCACTACACCGGACCGGCACTATTCAAACAATTAAAGATAATGACTTGGTTTTTCAGTGAGTGCGAGCCGAAAACACCGGCACTATACCGGGCACCATAACTAAACAGGACCCGCTTCGTAATGTTGTTGATGCTGGTGTTGGGTGTTTCGGCGAACAAATAAAAAAACACACATTGAAATTTAAGTGCGCGTGAACAACGACGTCTTCTGAGGTAGCGAAGTGGAACACCTCGAGCAGCAGCAGTGGCAGCGGCACCAGCAGCGATGTCTATTCGGTACGTTCAGCCTACCAGACTATTTCGCGGACAGTCGATTTGTCAACAGGATTGATTGGCGGCACTTTCTTGCTGGCATGTGTTGGTTGATGGTTGTGCTTGATGAGCTTAGCACTCGAATCTGACCCCATTCCTTCAAACTCGAAGCAGAAAAAAACAAAACAAAAAAGAGCGAAGAAGAGACACAAGTTGTTGTGAAAATCAAGAAAGGATGGCAGATTCTCTACTGATTGCTTCCCACAGCAGCTGCAGTACCAAACGACCCCTGCCAAACCATCATTATTGTCCGGCGGACGCGTCCTGACGCGATGATACAGAAGGACGCCAGATGCTCTGTGTTGTCCGAGCCCCAAATATGTTCTGAACCCCCGACACCACCCGGAGAAAAGCTTACGCTCTAGCACAGCAACAGCACGCCGGTACAACAGGTCTTGGGGTCCTTACCTGCACCCATCCACCTGTTGTACGCGTCGAACAATTTCATCGTACCGTTTCCCTCTCACTCCCCCCCCTCCCCCCTGAAGGAAAAACACTCCTAACCTCCGCCAACAACCTGAAACCACCACCTTCCGTCGACTCTACAAACACAGCGTTTTCACGAGCATCTTAATCCGGCGGCAACCCGCGCCAGCCAATCACATCCAACCGACCTGATGCTCCCCGCCACCTGCCGCAGCACCTCCGCCGTGTCCAGCGACCCGTTCACTACCACGAGGTCTAGGGTGAGCGCTCCCGTGTAGGTCTCCTTGTACTTGGCCACGCCCACCTCCGTCACTCTCGAGCAAACCACCAGCGCCTCTGCGGCAGCGGGGCGGGCAGGGCAGGGCGATCGGGTGGGGGCAGCGGCGGAGCGGGGAGAGAGAGAGAGAGAGAGAGAGAGAGAGAGAGATGACGAGGATACGTTCACAGCGGTACGGCAGGACGACGCGAACAAAAATGGTACATGTACATGACAACCCCTTTTGGGCCATTGGTAGGTGGGTGTAGAGAGGAAAAAGGGTGGCAAACCGGGAAGGGCTAGCTCGCCCGCTTTTCAGGACGAACCACATCACGAAACAAAAGTAGTGCTGGCGGTGAATCACAAACCGGAGGTACACCGGAATACCTTAGAGCTAACACAGAAGCTCCACTGAACATCTTAGCGTGCAGCGGCCGCAGTGCCAACTACAAACGGCTCCAATGGTTGCGCACAGCTCCAACAAGAAGACTATGTGGAAGGAAGGAGGAAACAAACACTGTCAGCGGGTCGACAATGTGCTCGATACCCATCCGATACTTCACCCTTTCCATCACATGGATTTGCGACAAGTGAAGATTTACCTGTGTATCCGGCTTTCTCGAGTAGCTCGAGCTGGTAGTGGAGGAGAGGCTTGTTGAGCACGGGCAACAGCGGGGCGGGGACGTCCTGCGTGAGGGGATAAAGCCTCTTTCCATCCTCGCACGCGAGTATGACCGCCTGCCAAAAGCATAACCCCGCCGCACCGCGAAAGGGGGACGGATTCCATGTATACGTGAGTTGTAAGCGCGTGGAGGTTGAGTTAGCATGCTGACACACAGTTCTACCATTCGCTGGGATCGGCCCACGCCCTGTTTATAAGCTGCTGTGCGAAAGACAGGGTGACGCGTCAAGCCGCCTGTGTAAGGACGGTAAAAAATAAAACAACCTAGGGCCGCCGCCAACTGGGGGAAGACAAAAAAAAGGGGATCACATGCAACGACAACAGGCGGCCCAACGCACAACAGCAACAGTTTCCTCCGTCCCCCGCCCCTTGTAGAAAGCGAGTGGATTCGTCGCAACATGAGATGTACAGCACCGAGTGAACACAAGTTAAAAGAGAGCATCGGCCCGCAGTAAAGGCCACGGTCTCGAGGCTCAGGTTTCATGTCTATTTCATCTCCACCACCACGGTCGTCGTAAGGGTGTAGTGTACGACCCACCGCTGCGCAGTGGTTCTTGCCCTCATCCTCTTTAGTTCTCGAGCAAAATGTGGGCCTACGCTTCGAAACAGCTCGTGCCTTTATGGCGGGCTAGACACTGCTATTGAGTAGGGTAGGCGTAGTGAACATCGGCAACCCGACAGAGGCGGTTGTGGTCGACATGCCCTGTGCTGCTGGGCTGCCTCTCTCCATCCAGCCAACCACACAGCACCATCCTACTTTTGAGTCTTGAACAACCACAAGGAGGGCCGGTGATAAAATCGAAAACAAAGGCGTAGAGTAGCAGGCATGCAGCAGGCTGCGAAGACAGAGGCAGGGCGTCGTTCGGTGTGCCGTACCATACTGCTACATATCGTAGATTGCACGAGACACCACACCCCCGAACCCATTTTCAAGGCCTGATTACCCCTCAACGAAGAGGATGCCGAAATCAAATCGTACGTTTTCGGAAAGGTCTCGACGAGACGGTTCTAACGTCGCCATTTTTGACACCGTCACTGCTTTTCCTGCCGAGCAATCGAGCTCTGAAAATCGGTCCAGGAGATGTGACATTTTATGCAACCTACGGTAGCACACGCCGCCAAAGGATCCGTACAGGGCAGGGAAACCGCCCCAGTTCGGATGGCGGTCAAAGGTATTACTTTAAACAATTAGCACCGGTTGGCATCGATTCACATTCACTTTGCATCTCAGTCCCCTTCGGATCCGAACGAACATGCTTGTTGCAAAGCCGCGACGACAACACGCACAGCATATACACTGCTGTTGTTGTACAGCAGTACTACCGTAGACTCATTGTACACTGCTTGTATCTAGCCACAGCACTGCTTTGGTGAGGGCTTACTTGAACTGACATACAATTCCCAAGCCCACCCTTGAACGATATTGCGCCCAGTGGCGTCAACAACTCGACGCATGATTCACCTGTAGGTCGGACGCGGAGACCATCTCTCCGTCACTGCTGTGCTGTGAGCTTGTCGGTGTTGCTTGTTGGTCGTTGCTGTTGGTTGGGAGATGGCGCAACAGGCGGTGTGGAGTGTGGGCGATGGGGAAGCATACACCATACACCACCGTTCCGCGTTCCGCGGAGCTCCCCATGGACAGTTAGTTGCGCCGCACCAGCGCCGCTCCCACACCACACCGCAGCGAGCCACACATCATATCACACTACTATCGCTGACACGCTAGAAGGATGGACGTCACAGGAGAGGACGAGTGGAGTGACTGGGAAGACGAGGACATTCCTGCTCGAAGCCTTTTTGAGGACAAGCTGCTGCCATCCGCGAAGGCAAGGAGTGCATTGTACGTCCTGTTGGTTGTTCGAGGCGCGGGACTGTCAGGTTTCGTGGCTGTGTGACAGAAGACAGAAGTTGGACACGTTGAGCATGTTTTTTGCGGTGTCCGCCCGCCCCCCGCTTGTTGACAGAGACGGGGCGAGAAGCACATGCGCGGGAGGCTGACCACGACACGAACGCCAGCTGTCAACGCTGATGCGGATGGAAGTTCTTTGCACGTCCGTCTTTTGTCCTTGTTGTGCAGATACCACAGCTGCCCTTACACCCATTCGTGGTCAACTTGCTAGGTGCATCAGGGCTCCTGTTGGGTCGACCGCCGGGGGATGAACCCATGCCAGGACTGGCAAGCCCCACCTATCCCTCAACCTGGATCACCCACCAGTAGATATTGCGGAGTCAACTGTTCACAAGACTTGCCCTATTAGATGACTCAGCGCTGACTGAAAGTATAGTCACAGGGTAGCGTCGTCGTTCATGTAACCAATTCTTTCTGTGAGATATGTTACCTTTTCTAAAAGAAACCTCGCGGCTCTCGGCTCGTAGCCCCCAGCTGGATCAGTGATAGTAAGAATCTCGGGGACCGGGCCCCTTGCCAGGGGTTGCCGGAATAATAACTTGTGGTGCTTGGAAAGTGATGCAGCTGGGGTTCGAAGTCAGCGATGACTGACTATTAGTGAAACGGGTCAAAGCCTTTTCGAAAAACAGCCTTTCGAACAATAGGATATACACGCGGGTTCTAAATATACTTTTTTCCCGGTTGACTACTCAGTCATTGCTGACTTCGAATCCCAGCTGAATCATTTTCGAAGCACCCTTCCAAATGGTTCCTTTTCCCGGCAAATGGTTCCTTTTCCCGGCAGCGCCTGGCGAGGGGTGCGGCCCCGGAGATTCTTACTACAACCACTGATCTCGTTGGGAGGCTACGAGCCGAGAGTACGTCTTTTCTTGTAAAGGCTTACCCAATTGACTCTACTCAGTCAGCGCTGACAAAGTAGTCTTGGGTAAGCCTTTCGAACACTGCCGTGAGCTTGGTCACAACCAATTATTCTGCTGCGCGGTGTTTGAAACCCCATGTATCACCGCTTGTCGTGCGTTCGTCCGCAACCCGTGCCCTCCCCCTGGCAGGAGGCCTTGAAGTACGACAGCGACACGTACGACTTCGACCTTTTCGCACTCAGATCCAAACTCGGTGAGCTGCACAACCGTCGTGGCAAGTGCTGTACCATACAAAGGTAGTTTTTGGTGTTATCCCACGCGGCATAGGTGGGAAGGGAGCAGCAGTGACACTGCCTCCACTGAGCGCCGTCGGACAAGACCGTTTGGGTTCCTGGCGACAGCGCCACCGGACACCTGCACAGCCAGTCCTTGTCCATTCCGTCACATGCACTATTGTGGGCTTTCCGTCCGGTCTATTCTGGGCACCAGCCTACACCTGTTGATAGTCTGTACGTTTGACGGACCACCTGGGGATGGGTAAAGAAAGCGGACAAGGATCAAGTAAAGAGAAGAGGAAGCAAAACCGTCTTCGTATTTTCCCGCCCGTTTCCCTGCCTTCGGTGTGTGCGTACCCCCGTCAGGCCTCGATTTTTACGGCTGCGTCAAGCTTGTCAATTACGTCCGCACCGAGGTCTCCTCCGCCTCGGGCAGCAGGCTAAAGGACGTAGCGGCGGGCATCGAAGATGCTGTCGTCGCCAGCAAGGGGGAGGCCTTTGCCGACGAGAGGTGAGCTATCCATCTGTCTCTTGAGAAACAAGGCGGGTGATCATTCGGTCAAAAAGCCCCGATTCCGCGCTAGTACGCATATATGTGTAAGTTTAACCGCGTAAAAAAACAAGTCGCCCGACCAAACATTGCAGCTGGTGGAAGATCAAGTGAGTTTGTTAACCGATAAATAGCTTGCTTTTTCATCTTCGCCCATTCGAACGCCAAAGTCAGCTGGTTGGTGCGTCCAGGTCATCACGTGCTTTTGCCATGATCACTCCTCCAACCACCATCCCACACTACTGCTGTGTGTGTACAAGTGCGCAGGTTCCTACGGCCAGCCCTGGAGGATGACGCTCTTCTCCTTTCTCTTGAAGAGCTCTTGCTTCAGGGGGACAACCAAGATAACGACGAGGACGACGCCCCCCCCCCCCCNCCCCCCCCCCCCACTACCGCGCCAGAGTCAGGAGCTCAAGAGCAGAAGGGGAACGTTCTCGATGATGCAACAACAGCATCAAGGTCGGGCGAAGGAGCAACAAGGACGGGACCGTCATCGGTGACTTTGGGGCAGCCTGCAGAGGAGGGAAACGCCCTCGATGTCTCCGCAGCGGCAGCGGCGAGAATATCGGAGCTGGAGATGGAGAACGCGAGACTGAGGGAGGCGTTGCAGGCGGCGGACGCGCGAATAGCCGGGGCCAATCGAGTGCTGCGGAGTCTTGCCGGGGGGGACGCGGAGGGGGGGGAGGGTAGCGACGGCGAGGGTTCGGTCGCTGGGGTAAGTCCCGTAGTGTTTTGGTTTGGAGCTTTGGTGGTGGTGATTCTAGTCGGCCCTGGTTTTGGGTGGGCATTCATGCACTGCTGTGGTGTGGTGGCGGTAACTCTTGTTGGTGTCGTTGTTGCCAACAACGGGGTTGATCTTGTTGTGGCTGTACTCGTTGGTGCTGCCGCACGTTAGTCGTTAGCTTTTTTTGTGATAGTATCACTGGTGACGGAGGGGCAGTGACGACCACTCTATCCTCGCGCAAGCCGTTCCATCCTCGACACCGATGACGTAGCGTTATCGTTCGGTGCAGGCCGCAAAGAACCACCATCCCGATGGTACCGGGGACATCGGTGGCGAATTGATCGGTGTAGGCCACGAAACACCAGATCCCAATCGTAAATGGGGTTCCTTTGTGCTATGCTCTCTATTCGCAGGTATTAGAGTTGTATTAGCGCTCGAAGGTCCGGTTGTACGGCTCCAGATTCCTTCGTAGCACACTCGAGCCTCCCCCGACAGTCATGCGCACGCCGCCGAACACGAGCGGCATACCCTTCCCCAATGATACCAAGTTATTCACATATCGCCATACGGCGTTTCAGTGCTCATTTCAACGGTCCCCACAACGTGCCAATGCGATTTGTTTTTGTTCCTTTCGTCAGGTGGACAACGATTCTTATTACTTCAGGGGCTACGCGCACTGGGGTGTCCATGAGACCATGCTCACGGACACGGTGCGAACGGGGGGCTACGAGCGCGCCATCTGCGACAACGCAGCGTTCTTCAAGGATAAGGTGTGTAACTGCTGCTGCTGCTGCTGCTGTGCGTTGCTGCATCGTAACACTCTTGTGTGTGTGCCGTGACGTGTGGTGAATTTTTTTCCTCTTCGTGTACGGGTCGGGGATTTTTCTTCCCCTCCCGCTCCTTTGTCTTACGGTACGGTACTTCGAAGTGTGTTTCATCTCTCGATATTTGTTGTTTCCTCTCTCGTGCGTTTGTTGTAACGTTGTCTTGTGCTACTGTATCTACTCTCCGTCCCCTCTACCTCGTCCCCCAAGCCTCATCAGTCTCCACACGTTTGACGTGCGCATGCGCCCTGTGTTCTCCGATAACCAGGGCATTAAAATAAACCCTCTGAACCGGGCCTCAAAGTCGTCGCAATCGACATCAATTTCTCCAACCTTTTGTACCCCCTCTATAGGTGGACCCCGTGCTTACTGCTGTACAGATGCAAAAGCCGACAGCGCTCATCAACAGCCGGCAGCGCTCATCTCTCTTCACCTCCCGCATGCCCCCCTCAATAACCAAAAGGTCGGAATTAATTGTCCAAGAAAGGAAACCTTTTTCGTCTGTCCCCAGGCTCAAACGGCCGAAATTCATACCAGACAAAACTGAACCCGTTTTCGTCTGTCCTGGTCCTATCGCCGCTACAAAACACCCCGCCGCCGCCTCCGCCTCCTTTCCACAGGTGGTGCTGGACGTGGGGTGCGGCACGGGAGTGCTGAGCTGTTTCGCCGCGCGGGCAGGGGCCCGTAAGGTTATCGGCGTGGACCGCAGCGACATCGTGGTCAAGGCCAGGGAAGTCGTGCGAGCGAACGGGTTCGACGGCGTCGTGACTCTGGTGCAGGTATGTGTGTGTGTGTGTGTTTTTTTGTGGGACTGTTTTTTTTTTCTGTTTAGATTTGTATTGTTCTTTACGGGCAGTAATTTTAAGACCGTTCTTGTTTTTCTGTGTTTGATGTAGAGTACTATGGTATGGCCTAGTGACTTAACAAACAGGCAGGCAAAGATATCTTACATGGTGCCCTCTACACAGGTCTCCGCCTCTCCCCGGCAGTTTGGGGATGCGAGGGCATGCGTTTACATGAGTACCCCCACTCCCCCCACCCCCCGCCCACCCCCCTCGTGCGTGTGTGCCCGAAGGGAAAAGTGGAGGACGTCGACATCGGCGTGAGCAAGGTGGACATCATCATCTCGGAGTGGATGGGCTACTGCCTCTTCTACGAGAGCATGCTCCCCAGCGTCCTGACCGCCCGCGACAAGTACCTCGCCAAGGGAGGCGTTATGCTCCCCGACAGGACGCCTCTCTTTATCCAAGTCCGTTTTTTGAGTGCGGTTTTGGTCACAAAACGATTTTTTGGAGTCATGACTTGAAGTCAAAAGCCTCTCCAATATGCGTCCCTGGATCAGGCAAGAAGCCTGCGCAATGTCCCCCGAAAAACGGACGCAATAAAACGATGCTGTAAACGTCGGCGCGTCCTCATGACCCGAATGCATATTTGCTACCCGTGGAGGTGTGAGTATGACACACGGGGATTGCCCCACGTAGTTCGAAACACGTGGTGTCATTTAGGCGTGTACCTGCCAAGGGTTGCGTAGGCTACAGTACCGCTGTTTCTTTCCCATCCAAGAAAAAACCAAGACCTGACAACACTATCTACACACAATCGCGTCACAACCACTATTGCCGAGCTGCAGTTGAAAAGCTGCGCAGGCTACAACTGCTGTTTCGTTCCCAACCCGAAGCAACCAATACCTGACGATACCACCACACACAACCGCGCGTCACAACCACGAACGCAGGGCTGGAGGGATCCGGACGGGCGGCTGCAGTTCTGGGACAACGTCCACGGGCTGGACTACTCGAGCATGGCCGACCTCCCGCTAGACGAGGCATCCGTCGAGGTGGTAGGCCGGTCCGACATGGTCACGGAGCGGTGTCTTTGCCGGGACTTCAACCACGAGANGGGGGGGGGGGGGGGGGGGGGGGGGGGGGGGGGGGGGGGGGGGGGGGGGGGGGGGGGGGGGGGGGGGGGGGGGGGGGGGGGGGGGGGGGGGGCGTACTCTTTATGTTTTGCATGCCTTGGCGGTTAGACTGATGACCACGCGTCCTTGAAAACACTAAGCATGAGGGGGGCGGGGTACTCATATTTTGCGTGCCTTGGCGGTTAGACCGTTGACCACGCGTCCTTGAAAACAAGAAGCATGAGGGGGGCGGGGTACCCATATTTTGCATGCCTTGGCGGTTAGACCGTTGACCACGCGTCCTCGAGAGCACTTAGCATGAGGGGGACTGGGAGCTCATATGTTGCATGCCTTAGCGGTTAGACGGTTGGCCACGCGTCCTCCAGAGGACAAAGCATGGGTCCCACAGGATCCAATCGTGGTGGAACGTGTTACGTTGCATGTGCCGGCACGTACATAGTGAGCTGTTCTTGGGTGAGTGCAGCTGGGCTCGCCTCTACGTTTGAACGGTTGTTCACTGGTGCTATCATTTTTCACTCGACGTTGTTTTCAGACCCGGTTCTTGCAGTGACGAGCGGACGTCGAGTCTCGAGCTTGGTGGTGGCAGATGAGGGCACAACGCCCAAGATCCGCAGCAAGCACCGTCATCGCGTTCAGCCGTATCGCACACTGCCAATTAACAATCGTTTGCAGCGGGCGGCGCACCCGAATGCTTTCTCTTTGCCCGCGCGACCAGGCCGTTCCTCCCAACCCCACGGGCACCAACCCATCCCATACTTCGACTTGAATTTGCTTGCGTGGGAATTGATTCGTGCTGTTTCCCGCGCTCCCAGCCCACCGCAAAGAAGACTTACCCATCCCTCCCACCGGCACGTGCACGTGCAGGATCTGGACTTCGAGGCGCCCTTCGAAATGGTCGTTACCAAGCCGGGCACCGTGAGCGGCCTCGTGGTGTCCTTCGACACCGGCTTCTTCGCGAAATCGGATCCGCCGCCACCGCCGCCGCCCTGCCCCCCTGACGCAGGTATCAGCGGCACCAGTGCCGAGGCCAAGGCAGGCGGGAAGCAACAGTCAACGCCGCCGCCGTCAGGGGCGATGACGACAGTGGCGAGCTGGTTCTCGACGGGGCCGGAGAGTCGCCCCACCCACTGGAAGCAGACTCTGCTGTGGCTGCATCCGTCGGAGAAGCCAGAGGGGCTGGCGAAAGGCGACGCCATCGCCGGGAGCCTGTCGCTGCACCGGAACGAGGTCAACCCGAGGGAGCTTGGCCTGACGGTCACGTGGACCGCCACGCAGCAGAGCACGGGGCGGACGTTTGGGGGAACGCAGAAGTACTCGGTTTGCTGAGGACGGCCGGGAGGGGGAGGGTAGAAGATGGGCGGCGAGTCATGTGGTGGGTGGGCGGCACGGTGTAGTGGCTGTGCCAGGCGTCTTCGTACTCTCTGTTGGCCCGGTCTGGTATTGGAAGCAGACGGAGTGGGTTGTGCGCCTATTTTGAGCCCGGGCTGAGCTTTTGTGTCAATCGCTTGAAACATCATGACCCCTGCCTGCACTGCGACAACAAAGTCAATTTGCTGGAAGTCCAGACATTGCGAAACCTTCCCTCAAGAAGACACTCGTTGTAGAGGCTGGTTTCTTTTTGTTTGACAGGAGAGGGGACTCTCGGTGGTGTGCATAGAGGCGATACTCGGTACCCCCGAGGGAAGTCACCTTGGACAGACACGAGAAAGACAACAAACAGTTCAGACACAGGAACAAAGAACCGATGGATCACCAATGATTTACTAGCTGGTCGATCCACGACGAAGGGGAGGCACGATGAATAGCCTGCTGACCGAAACACACACACGTGATCGCCCCCATGTATAGGTAATCGGTAACCCAGTTGGTTAGCAGGACACCAACAATTAAGAGTTGTTGGCGCCGATAGTGCGATGAGTGGCGGCGTGCAGGTCCCGCGCGATTTCCAACCAACCTGTTGGCGGCCCCCACCCTTGTTTCCGGCTATGTATTGACCAAGATCTTGAAGATTCGTTCCGATTTGCACCGATCTTCCTTGCTGTTGATTCCTGTCATGTCTCACCCCCTCTTTCCTACCCCCATTCGCTACTGGCGCTTTCACAGCCCGAGCATGAAAACTCAGATCCAAGAACCCGGACGGCCTTAGTAAATATCGGCCATTGACGGATCCGAAATCAAGTGGAGACGTCGAGTAATGATGCCGGAGAGGTGTCGAGCGTGATTTTGGAATCCCTGAACCAGAACCAGTTTGTCCTGAGCGGAAATATGCCTTAAGTTGATTCTGGTTCAGGGATTCCAAAATCACGCTCGATACGTCGCCGGCCCACTCATGACCGTCTCCGCGTAGATCTCGGATAGGTCCAAGGGCAGGTTGGTCATGAAGGCGGTCCGCGTTCTTGGGCCTGAGTTTCCAGGGAGTATGTGAGAGCGTGAGTTGATGGTTGCTGGTGTGAGACCGTCGGCACGTAACCCATGGTCACCGAGTGAAACTCATTCGGGTGGCCGCCACTGCCATATGAATAACTGCAGGATGATGCGGTCCGTCAACGTCCTGAATCTGACCGTTTGACATACCCCAGAGCAACGTTGGAGACCGTGATCAACGAGGCCGGCAAGGTGTCGAGCATGGTTCTGGAATCGCCCCCACGATAACCAGCTCAAAAGATATTTGTCGGTTGGAACAACGCGCTGAACAAAAGTATCCCTGAAGCTGGTTGTCGTTGAGCGATGCCATAACCACGCTCGGTTTTTGCTACCAAGGTACCAGAGCGTGGTTCCGGAAAGGATCCACAACAAGCAGCTTACGGGTTCCGAACAATGTGCTGTACAATAGTATCCATGAAGCTGGTTGTTGTACAGCCTTTAAAGAACTATTCTCGATACCTCACCGGCCTCGTTCATCACCATCTCCGCGTAGCTGTCGGATAGGTCGAAGGGCAGGTCAAGACACACACACAGTCCGCGTTCTTTGACTTCAGTTTCCAGTGAGTCTGTGATAGCGTGAGTACAGAGTTGCTGGTGTGAGGGCGTCCGCACGCATCTCATCGTCGCCACGTTGGATTGATACGGGTAGCGTTCCCGCCCACATGCATTGAACCCCTCTCGAAATTCGACCACGGACCATGTTTATTGTTGACCCCGCCTTTCTAACGCTTTCCCGCTCCCAGTTCTCCACTCACGCTCTCAGAATCCTCCTGGAAATTCGGAATTAAGGACGCGGACAGTGAACGTGACGAACCTACCCTTCGACATCCCCGGGAGCTATATGGAGACGGTAGGTAGAACAGAGCGTGGCGTCGGAAAGGCTTTACAACAAGCAGCTTCTGGGATATTTTGGTTCAGAGCAGTATGTATGCTGAACGAAAGTATCCCATAGGTTAGTTGTAGAGCCTTTCCAGAACCACGCTCGATACGTGGCCGGCCTCGTTCATTACCGTCTCCGCGTAGCTCTCGGGTTCGTCGAAGGGCAGGTTAGTCACGAAGACGGTCCGCGTTCCTGGGCCTGAGTTTCCAGGGAGTGTTCGAGAGCGTGAGTTGATGGTTGCTGGTGTGAGACCGTCGCCACGTACCCCATTGTCGTCGCGCTGGATTCATGCGGGTAACATCCTCACCCATACGCAGTTAATCCGACCCGAACTTCGTTCCGTCAGCACCCACCCGTTCGTTATTGCCCTACCGATCTTCCAAGCTCCTTTCCCGCCCCTCGGTTATCTACTCCGCTCTCGGATCCCCAATGGAAGCCCCAGACGGAAGGACGCGAACGGTCTGCGCAACTCACCTGCCCTTGGGCACATCCGAGAGCTACGCGGAGACAATGATCAACGAGGCCGGCAAAGTATCCAGCGCGGTTCTGGAAACGCTTCAGAGTTTCCAAAACCACGCTTGGTTCTACGTACTAAGGTACCACAGCGTGGTTCCGGCAAGGCTCCACAACAAGCAGCTCAAGGAATAAACTTGTTCAGAACTACGTGCTGAGCGAAAGTATCCCTTGAGCTGGTTGTTGAAGAGCCTTGCCAGAATCACTCTCGATACCTCACCGGTCTCGTTCGTGACCGTTTCCGCGTAGCGCTCGACTAGGCCGAAGGGCAGGTTTAGGTACGCAGACGGCCCGCGCTCTTGGGCCTGAGTTTCCAGGAGTGTTCGAGAGCCTGAGTAGGGGGGGTTGCTGGTGAGCATCCGCATGCATCCTATGGTCGCCACGTTGGGTGGATGTGGGTACCGTCCCCGCCCACATGCATTGAGCCCCACCGAAATTCGACCACCGACCCTGTTTGTTGTTGACTCAGTCTTGCAAACGCATTTTCCGTCCCCAGTTCTCCACTCACGCTCTCAGAATCCTCCTGGAAATTTGGTACCAAGGACGCCGACGATCGACGTGACGAACTTACCCTTCGCCATATCCGGGAGCTACATAGAGACGATAGGTAGAACAGAGCGTGGTTCTGCAAAGGCTCTACAACAAGCAACTTCGGGGATATTTTGGTTCAGAGCAATATGCTGAACAAAAGTATCCCATAAGTTGGTTGTCGTAGAGCCTTTCCAGAACCACGCTCGATACCTGGCCGGCCTCGTTCATCACTGTCTTCGCGTAGCTCTCGGGTTTGTCGAAGGGCACGTTAGGCACGCCGACGGTCCGCGTTCCTGGGCCTGAGGTCCCAAGGGGGCTGTAAGAACGTGAGCGTAGAGAGATGCTGGTGTGAAGAGTGTCGGCATGAGTTCCGTGGTTTCCGCGTTGGATTCATAGCTTTCCCACCGGTATGCACTTAAGCCGACTCAAGATTGCATTCCGAAAGCACCAACCCTGTCCACGGTCGATTCCCTCCCATTTTCCTAATCCCTTTTTCCACCCCCGGTTCTCTACCTAGGCTCTGAGAGCCCTCTGGGGGAGTCTCCAAGGACGCGAACGGTCTGCGCAACTCATCTGCCTTTGGGCGTATCCGAGAGCTGCGCGGAGACCGCGATGAACAAGGCCGGCAAGGTGTGGTTGGAAACTCTTCACAAACAACCACCTCTAGGAAAACATTTGTTCAGATTTGAGCAACAACATCCCTCGAGGCGGTTGTTTGAAGAGTTTCCAGAACCACGCTCGGTCTACCTACGCGGTACCAGAGCATGGTTCCGGAAACGCTCCACAACCAGCTTGAGGAATATTTTTGTTGAGGACAATGTGCCGAGCAAACTATCCCTTCAGCTGGTTATTCTAAAGCCTTTCCAGAACCACGTTCGATGCGTCGCCGGTCCACCCGTCAACGTTTTCGCGTAGCTCTGGGATAGGTATGTCGAAGGGCAAGGTTCGGTACGCCGACAGACCACGTTCTTGGGTCTGAGTTTCCAGGTAGTCTTCGAGAGCTTGAAAAGGGGGTTAAGGTAGGGGGCAAGCTTCGGCACGAATCCCACGGTTGCGGCGTCGGATATGCTCGGGAGCATCCCCGCCAATGTGCAATAAACCCGTCGAACCTCGCTTCGTCAGCAGTCTGTTGTCGATTGTTTCCCGTCGTCCATCCCCCGGCGCTCTACTTCGCTCTCATAGCCCGATGTAAGGGCAGGCCTAAAGACGCGAACGGTCTGCGTAGCGCGTAACTAACTTGCCCCCGGACATTCCCGAGAGCTACGCGGAGACGGTGATCCATGCGGCGGACAAGGTGTCCAGCGTGGTTCTGGAAATGGTTCAGAGCAAAAACCTTAAGGGATATTTCTGTTGAGAGCGATATGCTGGACCCAAATATATCTTCAGATGATTGTGCTGAAGAAATTTCACCACGCTTGGCTGTACCTGCGCGGTACCAGAGCGTGGTGCCGGAAAGGCTCAACAACAAGCAGCAAGGAATACTTTTCGTTCAGAACAATGTGCTGAGCAAAACTATCCCTTCTGCTGGTTGTTGTCGAGCCTTTTCCAAAACCACGCTCGATACATCGCCGCTCCACTCATCACCGTTTCCGCACAACACCTCTGGGATAGGTGGAAGGGCAGGTTTAGGTCGCAGACGGTCTGCGTCCTCGTGCCTGACTTTTCTGGCGAGGCTATGGAGCGTGAGTAGAGATGCTGGTGCGAGAGCTTCGGCACGAATCCCATGGTCCCGGCGACGGATACGCTCGGACAGCTGCCCCGCCAATATGCATTCAACCCGTCAGCACTCTGTTCTTTGTCGACTCTCCCGTCTTCCACCTGACCCCCAGGTGCTCTATACTCCGCTCTCAGCCCCGATGTAAGCTCAGACCCAACGACGCGAATGGTCTGCGTAACTCACGCGCCGTTTGATGTACCCAAGAGTTACATGGAGACCGTGATCAATGAGGTCGAGGTGTCGAGTTGGGCTCTGGCTGCGTCATACAGGGGTCCGGCCCCGGTTCATGTTTGACACGGTGAAGAATGTGTCCATTATGGCCGTGATGTGCGGGGAAATCGATTGCGTGGTCATCTATTTCCCCGCACATCACCATCACGATGACACAACAATGTTTACCACCGTATAACCGGTCGCCCCGGTGGTTTAGTGGTATCCTCGTAATCCGCTAGTCGCGGAGGTCGTGAGTTCGGATTCCCATGGGGTGAAAAATTAACGAAATGTGCGGCCGGGTGAAATCGAAATATAGCTGACAAGCTCTCGTGAGTACCAAACTTCGCCGTGACCACCGTTGACGAGGGAAAGGGACGGCTGGACCCTTCTCGCGATAGAAATAAAAATTCAGCACGCACCGCAGGAGGAAGGTGGGGCATGAAAAGAAATGAAAGAAAAAGCCCTGGTGTTTACCCCCTCCTGTGTGACCCTGGATGATTGTAGTTATACGAAAAATAAGTGTAGCACTCTACATAACGCTGAAAAGTGTAGTACACGTCTCACCACGAAAACGGGGGACTGTCGCCATAATAAATACGACGAAACCCCAACAAAAAAACGTGTCAAAGATCAATTTCCCATAATGGGCACAATGTTTTTTCCCCGTTTCCTTGCACATGACGGTCACGATGACCACAATGTTTACTACCGTGTCAAACATGGACCCAGGCAGGACAACCCTGTCACAACTTTGATTTGGCAACGGCGGTTGTCCCAACAACTAGCTGATAACTTGTGTGTCCCTGCACAATATGTCAACGAAAATATCCCTTGAGATAGTTGCGGAGCTTTTCGACAACCACCCCGATCGAAACCGTGCCGGCCTCAACTGATTTCCGTCCGCGTAGCTCTCGGACAAGTTCAAGGGCGGGTTTGTTTCGTATACCCTCTGCGCCCTGGGTAGGGTATGTTGCCCCCACGACCGCAAAACCCTCTAAAATCCCCTCTGACACGCCACCTTGGAAACTCAGATGCAAGAATGCGGACGGTCCACGTACCTGACCAAGGTTCGACTTATTGGAGAACTATGCAGACGGTCATGAATGAGGCCAGGAAGGGTTTATGGAAATGGTCCATCTCGCGGAGAGGCCGTGTACTGCCACGGGAAGTGGAGCGGTTTGCTCTCGACTATTTAGTCGTCTCCTGCTGCTGTCGAACCTGGTCCGACTCCTGTCAAGTGCTGCTGGCCTGTCCCAAGTAACTTCGACACCTTGTAGCGCCTTGGTTAGGAACTCGAATTCCGGCGCAGGGAACTCTTCCCACATTGCTTCCATATGATATACGGGTTCCGTCTATCCTACGGGGTTTACGAGAGGTTGTGGAGATTTCCGAGATCGGACGCGGTCTGTATGTGCGTCTCAGGTTTCGGCTCCTGCTCGTCCGCCGCGGTGGGGATGGGTTTTATAATAGTGTTTCCGGCGGCGTGGTTTGGTGGTCGTACTTGCCCCGCCCGCAGCAGGGGGTTTGGTTTGTTGTTTCTTTTCCTGGTCTTGGTCTCGTCGGCCTGGTTGGTATTCGCCATGTCGACGACGAGAGGCAGGTGTGGATCGTACTGGATGCCAACTTTTATCCTACGGGGCTACAAAAGGGTTCGTGAAGCGTGGATTTCACCCACCACTGTGCTAGGAAGGCGTCTGTTCCTCGGGTGTTCTGTAGGCGAGGAAGTGCCGAACTGGTCAATCAAGTGTGGCTTGACTAGCGAGGGTTGGTGAGAGTGAGCTTGATTGAGGGGGGGGCACCGCGGATTCCATCTCAAGCTCAAGGTGGCGCTGACCGTCCTTCGCAGAGACTGGAACCCACCTCTTGAAGGTGCAGCGGACAGTTTGCGTGGCTTCACTGGTTTGGGTGTGTATGTGGAATATTGGGGGAAACTTGAAGAACAACGCGGTTTTTCGTGAGGGAAGGGGCGGCTTCGAATCTCGTCGCGCCTGAAGAATGACATGCATTGCAGCAAGTGCAGAATAATGCTTGTTCTCATGCATACGCCTGGGAATGGCCCCAAGCACTGCAGAGTTAGAGAGAGAAGACCGTACGTAGACAGACTTGCGAGCGCGATGCTCATTTGCACGGCAGGCGAAGAACAAAGCACAACGAACGATAACACACCACAAAGCGAGGGAGAATATACGACGGAAAATGCCGCGTATGAGTCTGGGGCAAATAGATATGATCCGCCATTTTTTTCGTGCTTGGGATTTTCGTCCCTGTCGGCGCCGAGTCGTTGCTTCACAGGCGTCCTTCTCAGTGGCACGCAGGCTTGCCGCTACATGACCGCGCAAGCCCGGAGCTCGACAGGTATCTGTGACGTGCGTGCTCAACGCTCAAAATAGCGACGACTGGCTCTATTTCGCGGGAATGCGTTCCGCGACGTCAATGCCTGGAAAACTGCGGCAACCCATGAATGACGGGATGGAGGACAAAAAAGCCGTACATTTGTATACATACGCTCATTGCATGTCTCCGCCCCTGCGGCCAATCATAGTTATTTAGCGCCCACCTCGAAACCCCATCATCTGAGAACTTGAGCACCATTTGTGAGCTCGGTTAAGAATTCTTAAACCTAAAACCTGTGCAGCGACCATTCGTGGTTCACAAGAGGAAATAAGAACCCCAGCCTCGGCCGAAAATAATACAAAGATTCTTGACGTGCGGGCGCCAACTGGTGCCGGACAAAGAAACTAAAAGCACATCACGGCATATGCCCTGCCCCACATTATACTAGTCTAATTGCTTTGAAGATTGGCCATTGCCGCTGCCTGTGATGCATCGAAGTCAGCTCTCCGGGAGTGTCGGCTTGCAGCGTATGTACCGAGAACATTTACAAAAGGCGCTGATTCCATCGCACATACTTGACGTCCTCTTATGTACCTTCGACATGTAGATTGCTGTGCATCGCAATGTCCAACACATTTTCTCGTCCGCACTTCGCAGTGGGCACAACTATACTCTGCGGCTTATGTAGACAAGTCTGAGTGCATAGACCAACAGGCAGGGTGTTGACAGGTGTGTTGGGAGCGTGCGCTCTCGCCTCGGCATGTGTTTGTGGTGTTGTTTCGGATTGAATTTCAGTTCATTATCGCAAAACGAGCGAAATCCCCAAACCAGCACCTAGGGTACCTTCACTGGCGAGTTGTTGTCTGCCCGCGCTGACTCCAAACACAACGTGCGATGTTTCATACGGTATAAGAGCACTATTAATAACTTTCTTCGCCGATCGGTAAGTAAGGCACACAACGCTTTTCGGGCGTGTCATCTTGCGTCACCGTCGGCTTGACACCTACAACCCGAAGGGAGACCTCGTATATACTTGAACGGTACTTTATGATATGGCTGCACTGCCCCTCACACACCGTTTTCAGCTGCGCGAGCAGAACGGCGGAGCTGCATGTTGGAGATTCGATCTCCCAGAATCCCGCACCACTTAGCCGGCAAATATAGGCAAAAACGGTAGAGCAAAATGTACGTCGTTTGACAACAATTTTCGCCCACGTCGAAGAACTCTATGCAACGGCGGCAGCAGCATGCAGGCTCTGGTGGTTCCGGAGGCAGATCGCAGCCGTTCTCGCGCACCCAACTCGAGACTTGCCCGTTTCCATGGCGGACAGCCGCAAGAATGGTGAAATGATCCCACGGACATTCTTCTTGGCAGAGCCACTGCAGAACTTCCAAATGACCCCCCCTTGCGGCGGCCATACACGGTCTTTCGTTCCGACGGTGCCCCTTCCCCCTTGCCCACTTCAGGGCATCAATGTGTCCACCGCCCGCAGCCACTCCACACAGATCCGCACGCCGACCTTCCAAGGCTTGGTCGTGGCCCTGGCTGACGAATAGGTATTGCAATCCTTGGACGTTTCCGCCTCTCGCAGCGGCATTGAGTACCCTTGATTGGACCCAAGGACATCCGTTCTCTTTCGCCCAACGCAACGTAGCCACAGGTCACCGACCTCCGCCAGCGCGAAACACGTGTCCGCACCCCAGGGGCACCAGTGCTATCTCAGCCACCGGAGCATGTGCGGACCCCCCGTTGCGGCCGCGGCACAGGTGCGGACGCTCCACGGACACCTTTGCTGTCTCAGCCACTGGATCGTCGCGAGGTGCCCGCCCTTCGCCGCCTTCGTGCACGTTGAGTGGTCCCAATGACACCCGTTTCCCGCAGCCACCGGAGCACGTGCAGCTGTTCCCCCGCCGCAGCGGACGAGCAAACGGAAACGCCCGGCCAGGGCTGGCCGTTGCTCTTTGCCCAATGGAGGATGTGGAGGTGCCCGCCCTTGGCAGCTGCTGAACTCGCGCTAACATCCCAGCTACGATCGCCGGTTCTCGTCGCCCAAATGAGCAGGTCAAGGTGTCCGCATCCCGCAGCTGCGACGAAAAATTTGGACATCAAGCGGAGCCGAGCTTTTTGTGTGCGACCTCGAGCAACCCCACGTCATCGGTGCGTGCAAGCGACGTGAGCACGCGCCGGTATTGCACCCCGTTCTCCTTCTTGAGGCCGCAGTCGAGGCTCCAGCGCAGCTGCGACAACGACGTGTGCGGCATGGCTTAGCTCGTGATTGTCGGACGCCTTCCCCCACGCTCTCCGCAAGTCTTGGGACACGGGCGCAAAAACGAGGTATTGTTTGTCGCCCACAAACTCAGCCATCTTAGTCAAAATGTCTGGGTCGAGTGCCGCGGGGAGCTCTGGCTCGGAGGCGTCTTCCACAGCGGTTGCCGCTGCTGCTGTGGTTCCGCAGGGGCGGCATGAGCGCGCGACAGCCAATTCACGTGCGTTGTGCTCTCTCTTGATATCGGGAGGGTGTCTTCCATATCTGCTCGCGAGAGAGTGATGGTAAATGTCAGCAAAAGTGCGGTGCATAGGAAACAACTGGGATGGCGAAGGTGGAGCGGGGTGTACCGTGGCATACGGGGGTACTGCAGGGAGGTGAGAGCTTCATGACGTCCTGGCACAACAAGGAAGAGGAGAATAGCCGACAACGAGAGCTCAAACGAAACAAGAAGCCCGGCAACAGCACGGACACGGCAACAACCACTGGGGCGGGAGGGGTGCAGCAGACGGACGAGACGGCGAGGGAAGACACGAGACGCGAAGAGGCGGACCGAGTGGCGCGAAATGCTGTGCCGAATTGAACCCCCTGATTGACTTATCCCCCCCCACCATGGCACCAACCCCCCACGGACGATGACGTGCATTTGCTGTTTCTGGTAGCCCGCCTTTGTGTTGTGTTGTCTTGTGTTGCTCTATCTGTTCGTTTGTTTGTCGCTAGGGTAGTGACTCTGGCGTGTGCCTTTGCCAGTGTCTTTCTCTTTCTCTTTCCCTTCTCCCCATCTGCTTCCTTCTTTTTCTTTTTCTTTTTATTTCTTTCCAGTCTATGGTCTCCTCGCACAGCGTGTAGCGGCGAGCGGAGTGCCCTAGACTATCTGTTGTTGATTTCCCTTGACTTGCGGACCATTCGGGTCCAATTCATTTTCGTATAAGTTTTCTGGGTAAGTTAGCCTGTGACCACGGGAACCGACCGCGTCAATTGTTAGACTAGTACGGACATATGAAGGTACTGGGTTGAGAGAACGAAACGGTTTTTAATGTGAAGACAACAACAACAACAACAACAACAACAACAACAACAACAACATGGGTGTGCAAGGATATCAGCTGTTCACAAGCGATTTTCGCGGTTCCCGCAAATGCTCTACCTAGGACCTCCCTCCAAACAACAGGGTCGTAGCACACGTGTTGCTGGGGGGCCCGTACAGCACATTCTATGGGATTTTCGACGGTCAGCCCTGTTCAGGAAGCCCGAAACTATCCCCATATCCGCTAGACTTGGACGTAACTTTGGAGCAGCTCCTGCAGTGCAGATTTCAATTTGAATAAGCCACTTTGTATCGGCTCTCTATGAACACACCAAAAAACGTTTCTGCCAAGCTAGGAGTGATTTAGCCGAACTCTGAGGGCGATACCTGGCCTGCATACCTCTCGGTGCCCCTTTCTCTTGTTGATCAATTTCGGAGATAGACAAAAAATCACGGTGAACGACGCTTTTTGGGGTGTTCCCCCGCTGCACGACTCGAGTTTGGGCAACGGGGCACACAAATATATTTTTTCCGACACCTACGTACCCATTTTCTAATTTGGGAGTTTTTGTTTGGGGTGCGGTAGTCTAATTCCTATATGAATTAAGGGGTCCCGCGGTGGGGAACCCATATTTCTTTGGGGTACCCTGTGCGCGAGCTTTCTTGCGAACCCCGAAGCCATGATTACACAAAACGGGTATAATTAAGTATGTAGGACAGCAAGAGAGCGCCTAACCCACTCAGAGTATAATAACGTCGTCACTAACAACTCGATTTGTCCACCATGTGCAGCTTGCGTGAAGTGGGGGTCATCTGCGCACCATGAGGCCATGTATTAACAAAATGCCAAAAATCAAAATCAATGTGCGTTATCGTGGAAAACTGAAAAAAGAGGGTCGTGTATGTTAAAGAGGATAGGAGACAGATGAGGCAAAAACTCAAGAAGACCTGGCGCCAGGGCAAGAGCCAGCAGCGAAGCGGTGATTTTTCTAGGGTGGGTTTTGCGCTCTTCTGTTCACGTGATAGCCGATATCTCGCCAAATACTTGACGAGTTGCCTCAAGAACGGCATCCGGAAGGAGCTAGTAACATGGGCTGTTGGGCCGGATCTGGGGTGGACAATGAATAGAATGCAATGCCAAACAACGATGCCAAGGTTTGGCGCCGTGAGGTGCCGAATGCGCCGGAAAAAAGGTTGTGTTCAAGCAAAAATGCCAACGGTTGCGAGCGGTCACTTCAAGTTCGGTGTTTTGGGCGCCACGAGTGTGGTTATCCATTGAAGACTTTCCGAAAGAGGAACCAACACCAACAGTAACGCCACGCGGTGGGAGGTATCTCTCTGCTCCATCTTTCAAGCCCAAGGTCTACTACCGTGGGGTATCATGCGTATAGGGATAAAGGCTTTGGTTGACCCTAAAATACCACGTCAGAGAGCTGTTAGTTCAAGTTCGCGCCGAATGTCTGCTCACAATTTAGATTTTCAGCGACAACTCTTCGAAGGAGGAAGCAACAGCAGTTACAATGCCACGCGACGGGAGGTAGCTCTACCCACCATCTTTCTCGTACAAGGTTAGATGCCTTGGGGTATCGTGAGTGTGGAGAAAAAAAGTTGCAACTACCCTTTCCCGCACAGAACAGCCCGAAAAAGCTGCGCAGCCCAGTTCTGATCGTCAGTTCGTTCACCGCTTGTCACGATCGGCATCTTCTCCTCAAGCACCCAACGAGCCGGCCGGGTTTTTGGCTTGCCGGCTAGCAGAGTCTTCTGGCTACAAATAACGGCCATGGTGTCGGTGGTAGGGTGCCGATGGCCCTTCGATGAGCAGCGTATAGCAGGTCGTGTCGTACACTTGCTTTGCAGCGGCCTCGCGGCAGGTGCTCCAAGCCTTCGAAGTCTTGAAGTCCTTGCCTCTTTGATTTTGATTTTGATAAAAAAAAGTCCCCCGGGGACTTCTTCCCAGACAGAGGAACTTCCATAAAATCAAAGGGCGTCGTCAGGAGGTAGCAGATGTTCGGCCAATCAGATCTCGACTTTGATTTTGCTTTTTCCGATTTTGATTATTGGCACATCGTTGGTATACGGCTTGAGAAGCACAAAAGTCGAAAACTTTTTTTCGGCCCGCCCGCGGGGTACCTCGGCGTGCGGGAGATCTTTTTACGTGCCCCCTTGGATTGGGAGGGATTAGGCAACGTTTGCAGGCTGGCGTGCCTGTTGTAGATCCCACACTGCTTAAGCCACCCTTTCAAGCTCTCGTGTGCGTAAGCTCGACAGCAGCATGCCCGCCAACTTTTCACCAAGTTTTGGACGATCTACTAAGCGTTTTACCAGTGTGCGCAAATCCTGCGTTGAAGTACGCGTCCCCACAGAGCGGACAAGGTGTTCGTGATGGGGTGCTGGGAGTGTCGATGGCGAAGTCTTTCTCCAGTTCAACGCAAAGCGACGGCATAATAACTGCATGCGAACGAACTTTGAGGAGAACTGCCTGTGATGCTCTGCAGATTTCGTGGCAAGTCGTGCATTGTGCGATAGACATCGGCAGCAGAACAGCGTAGTGCACAGAAGTGAGTAGTAGCCAAAAAAAAAAGTGGCTCGCAGCCCTCTTTCGTCTTTCATGATGGGGAAGCAGTACGTGTTTGAGTTATCTTACTCTTGCCCTCACATGCGTAGGCTGGGATCTAGGTCACCAGCTTTCGCCGACACTGGTCAGTGGTGTAGCGCTGACACACACGATCGGTGTCTCGTATACTGCCGTGGCCTAAGGCAGTCCTCTGGAACGGTCGTGAGATGTCGAAAATTCCAGGATGTTGTTTAGACTCCTCTACTGCTATAGCTTCAGACATAGTCAATGTTTCTCCAGACAATTTCGATCTCGGTGGCCTTTCGTACTCTCTATGCTGACTGAAAGGCGCCTCCCCGGTGACCAAAACAGCAAAGCTGGGCGCGGCCACGATATCTCTACTCCGCGATACTTGGTTGTTCGTTTGTTCCATTTGACCCAATTGTTATGGTCCGCTTGGCCACACGAGTGTGATCCTCTCACCCCGATCCTTGGCTTCGTCGTCGTTGTCGTCGTCGTCGTCTGTAGAACTTGTGCTACACCAGACTCATCTGTTGACACACTTGGCCGGCTTGGCGGGGATTCAAGGCAGGAACAGCAGCAAAAGCAATATGACGAGCACTAAGAGGGTGTACCGCCATGCCGACGAGAGTATTTTTTTTCTGAAGCTGGCCGCCTTTGTCCATGTGGTTCGGGAGGCGTGTTTGTAGAGGTTCGGTTCCTTGGTTCTCCAGCCTCCAGTATCCGAACCAGCCGAACATCCGGCACAGTTGGCACCCGCAGTTAAGAAACGCTTATTTCAGATCCAGCCTCGAATTCTTATTGTGGGCTATAAAATCAGCGTATGTCGTTCAGTTTCTTATTTCAAGTTTCTTATTTTTTCGTGCAGCCAAATCCTGCTGTTTTTTTTTTTTTTTGCCTTCGGACAATTGCAGATGTATACCTCAGAAAACTTTCACTTAATAATGTCTCATACTCTACATGAACATGAAACCAATACGAAGTACAACAACATATGTTGGACTTATTTCTACTGTCACTTACATCGATCGTAAAAATATCCCCTCTTAAATTTGAAATAAAACAAATGACAATCCTCCCTCATGGTATCCTACATGCGTTCGTTCGTAAGCTTGCTAAAATACTAATAATAATACTACTACTGCGTTGATGTCCTCTTGTAAAAGCTGAAATCCAACAAATGCTTTGATCCATGCTACATCTCCGTGTTGGGAAAGCCCTTTCTTCTCCGTTCATGATAACCTTACCCTTTTCTACGCAAATCTGTCACATCTACTCTCAAACAAGACGCCAACTTCAAACGAAAACGCGTTCTACGATGCGTCTACACCCCATCCCCATATCATTGGCGTTGACTGGTTCGAGGTCTGAATTTCTTTAATCGGCAATTTCTAATTATTTCGCTGCTTGCATACTACACAACGTTCCAAATATACAAATGATTTGCACTGCTTTCTTCCTCGACCCCCGTACTCAACCCCGATTCTCACTACTACCGACGGCTGCACGTAAGGCCACTCCCTAGAAGCGAAATGTGGAATGGGCGGCTGCGGGCGCAGGTTCAAGCCTCTCTCTCTCTCTCTCTCTCTCTCTCTCTCTCTCTTCTCCATCTCTCGCAAAGAACAACAACGAATCTCAGAGAAGAAACATCGTACGTCTAGATTTACATCTCGACTTGTTCCTTCTCTGCACTTTTCTCACGTTCTTCTATATTTTAGCGTAGCTAGTCTATAACATGTTCAACGCGATCTGTTGTCGAATGAATCCGTCTTCCGCCATTAACGACTCAACCATGACCTTCATGCTGGTCTGAATGGTATAAAGTGAAGACGTCCACAACCTACTTCTCCTATTCGTATGCGTACATATCACAAAACAAGTCAGATCGTTTTTCACCTGTCACACACACAATAAATAGACTAGTCTACATACCGTCGACCGTCAAAATCGCAACACAAACAAACGATCTCGGAGCCAATCTCCCCCCAAGAGGGCAGGCAAGAAGAGGCGTATACAAAACCCACTGAGTGGGCCAGGGTTGTAGATGACGTATGTATGGAAGGGGTTCGACATTGACGAAGGAGACACTGCTGTTGTTGTACACTAGAAACGAAGGTTGCCGCATAGACTATTAGGCCTGCGGCCTATTATACAGCAGTTGGCGCCCGCAGTTAAGAAGCATTTTGTTAAGAAGTTTAGGCTCACTTTTTCACGAAAAATAAGGAAATAGGGTTTACGGGGGAGTGTGTCGAAAAATAAACAAACCCCACAGCTCTCTCGCTCTTTCCCCCTCTCCCCCGACCCCCCCCTCCCAAAGTGACGCTATCGCTACAAGGTCCTGTACCCCCCTCATGAGTGAGGGCTGAAAATAAACGAATGCATAAACACCGCATGATGCCTCACCCGCACGCTGACGTGCCAACAACGAAAACAACCCCGTCATCATGTTGCAAGCTCCGCCGTGAGGCGAACATTGGGGGTTTTCACCCTTTTGCGCCTCCCGCTCCCTTCCTTTGGGTCTACCTCAAGGAGAACCCACGCCCCAATTGCGACGTCTTCATCCGTGCTGTACGACTCCAACGGCATCTTCATGCTACGCGTGCTTTCGTCACAGCAGTGCAGGATGACGCGGTAGTCGTACTCCTGCCGCGAAGCGGGGTGAGATCTGCGACTAATTACCCCTCCGAACCAACCCAACCCGAGTTTCACGAGAACTCCACGCTTCACTATCGTCAGTGTGAAGATATGCCAGTAAGAAAGCAACGGAGAGGATGTCGTAAGCGAAAGAAGGGGGTTAAGGGGAGGTTCTCCCCAGAATTCTCGCGGGGTCGTCTTCGCAGGAGCCTGCAAGCAAATGTACGTGTACCCTGCTGTACATGTAGCACAGAGAAAGGCATAGTATACGTGCGTGAGTCTATCTGGCGGTCCGGGTGTTGTTCGACGTGAAAGGTGTAGCACGCGCAATCCAAATCAGGCTGGGGGGGTCGCGCATGGGATAGTATTCCCAGATGAACGGGGCATATGTCTGAAAGGCTGGAAGGCTCCAACCGGCCATGCGAAGGATGAACGTGTAACGGGGTTTTCAACGAAGAAAAAATGTACTTCATTTCTGTACATGTTACGGGGCATTTTTTTATCCTAACCAAGGCAAAGCACGAGGGGGGCAGATGATGATAGGCTGATAGGCCTCGACAAAGGGTCAGCGTGCGTTGCCACGCTGACCTTACACAATACCGTTCACCCCACTGCTGAGCGCTTGGTGGTCAAGAACTTGAAGTCACCGATTCGAACCAAAACAACTTAAATCCCACTCAAACCTAAAATCCTTGACAGTTTGCCACACAGAGGAAAATGGAGAGGCTTCAAGTGGCGCGAACTGCATGAAACCTAAGATGTTTCTGGCGCGTTCCATGTATTACTACGACTCTCTGGCACTATCCCAAACATGCCAGTCACCGAAACGCATTCACTCTTGTACGCTCAATGGGACCCACCGCCAGTTCCTGACACGGTGCATCGGTTGGAGCAAGCGGAAACGCTCAGACCGCCCCCTGTCCGGTGTGGGAAGCGTCCTCCTTTTTATTTTATATCTTTATTTTCGTTTTATTTTTACCGGTTTCCGAGGGCACTTTTCGCGTCCGGTCGGTGCGGTAGCTGTTCTTTTTTTTTCTATCATATTGTTTTCTTTCCGAGTAGTTTGTACCCTATTTTTGTTTTGTTTCGCCGCGGCGTCGTATGTGCCGGGTTTTTGAGACCACGGGCTCCACATTTTTGTGGACTATAGAGCTAATGTGAGAAACAACAACAACAACAACAACAACAACAACAACAACAACAACTAAATACATACACCCGGCACATGCGTCAGCAGTGCCCGCCACATACTTCCGCAGTCTCGCATGTCGGCCACAACGACACGCGGGTGCAAGCTTCGGCGCTGAGGGGCTTCAAAAGCGACCCCATGAACGGCAGCACTTCGCCGACAAACTCCAAAACACCAAGACCGCAGCCACGCAACACAAAAAAAACACCCTTGGGACCCGAATACAGCCGGATACAGGAAATTTCTTGACCCTAGCATGCATATGCTTCCCTCCACAACAAACTTACACCATTGCAATGTGTCCATTTTCACTCATCACACTAAGAACCATCATGGACGCATGGGAATTTTTTTTCTCATGCCTCACTCTCCCCACGAAGTCCGGGAGCTTTTCCGTCCACCTCTTCACGAGGCGAAGAAAAGTATCGCGCTCCAAAAACACAGAAACAAGTAATCCACAGCAACAATGCCGGGAACCGACCAACCACTTTTACACAAGTGCAATTTTAGAGGAAGCTCTCTAAAAGCACCCCGGAGACATACTCCCACTCCCACTCGCTGCCACTCCGTCCTTCTGCTCCTCCCGTCTCGCCAGCGACCACCAGCTGCTGTCGCTGCTGCTGCCTCTGCTGCTGCTGCTGCTGCAACAACGGCACGCTGCCACCCGGCCCCTCGCGCACGCTCTGAAAAGCCGCGCTTCGAACACCCCCCGTACCGGCTCCCCCGGCCTCGTCCCCGGCGGCAGCCGCCACCTGTTCTTCCTCCGGGGACACGTCGATCCCGTCCCCTGTCGGGAAAAGCGCAAATAGCACGTCTCCGATGCTTTCGACGAAGGTGAATCGCAGGCCTTCAGCGGCCTCGGAGGGGATCTCTTCTAGGTCTCCGCGGTTGCGGGAGGGGAGGAGGATGTGGCGAATCCCTCCTCGTCGAGCGGCTAGGACCTTGTCGCGGACGCCGCCCACGGGAAGAACCAGGCCTCGCAGCGTTATCTATTGGTGGTTCGTGTCCAAGGTAAACATGTTGGGTGGGGGGGGGGGGACTCGTAGCCG